AGATCGTAGACCCAAAATATTTTAGAAAGTATACAATAATTGTTCTCTAGCAAGTTCTAAGTCACAAAATGTTTTAGACTTGGAAACTTTTGAACGTTGAATTTTGCCGTAATTCTGATGCCCCGATCTAAAATTGGGATGTGCAATCCCAGATCTCAAGAGGATGTGCAATCATTCTGCATGGCGTGCAGGGAACTATACCATTGTGTGGACTTGGCTATGTCGCAATTAGTTTTATGACAAGGTTGTGATTTCCGCCGGAGTCGTTGACAAAAAGCTGTAAATTGGTTGCATCCGCCAAAATGTGCTCCTATTTTATATCCGAATCGTCCAGTTCACCGAGCAAAGGTCTCCACCACTCATTCATTTTTAACCGCTCGACTTCCCCTCCCGCCTCCCATTCATCCTATGGAGCATTTCTGCCGTGCTCAGGAGGAACGCCGTATGCGCCTTCAGACGTTGCCAAATTTCCTCCGATAAAAACCAAATTTTCTAGAAAAATTGTGAATATTGTTTTTCAGAATTGTCAGACAATTTTGTACGCAATTTAATCTAAAATATCTGAAAATGTCAAGAAAAAATATGCATTAAGGGTGTGTCTCCAGTCTGTGGTCATACGCGTTGTTACCAACTTTTTAATTTCCGACTGCAATTCCCAGTAAACTGAGAAATATAATATATACATATAAGATTGTCAAATATATGTCATAATCTAAATTCTCGTATGTACCCCCATTTTCAAAATTCTCTGTAAAGACGATAATAGCCTGTGACGCTGAATGTCTTAAAATATATTAACTAACTAACTAACTAACTAACTAACTATAACACAGCATCTGCATTCAAAATATATAGCACATTTATACATAATCATTTATAGATGTACATGCTTAATAGAAAAGTTGTTTGAGTCTTAAAATGGGTATTAAAGGAATGGTAAGACTCGGATTACTTTTTAAAAGCCACACACTCTATCTTGGCCTGTCTTGCCTAACGATTATAGTCAATCGACCGAGATTGATCTTTCGATTGAAACAAAGTGATATTGCGCAAGCCTAGATCAAATACGAGTAGGAGCCGTGATTCAAGTGTGACCCCGCCGTTCCCTCTTAAAATTGGTCTCCGAAATTGAAAGTGCCAAGCGCAAAACTCTTCAGTCGTGAGCTTTTACACGTGTCTTCCTTCCCAAACTTATTGTTAATGTTGCCAACTTAAAGTTGGAACAGGTGTTTGTCGTCCACTCACTGTCAAACTCTTTATCGGATTCGGATGAACCTCTTCATTCTAAGTCTACTTTGTCATCAAACACTACATCACTGTCAAATCATGAATTTCATAGGCGCCTCCTCATTGCGTCGTATTAATAGATCGTAAAATTAGGGGGAAAGGAGGAAGAAAAGAAGGAAAAAAACATTCACCACTGGTTTACAAATTAGTAGTAATTTTTATACTTGGATTTTGTTTGAAATTGAAGCATCAGGAAATATCGATACCTAGCAGTCGGTTCTTGGAAGTTTAAATGTAAATAAAAAAACGTAATGCAATCTGAAAATAAAAAACTAAAATTTTCGGATTTTTCCCCTCTTATTTTTGTTGCGTAATTAAAGTCGCATAGGTACTTTAGAGAAAAATTTAAGCAGGATCGGACACAAAAACTTAACTTAGCCAAAAACAAATTTTTAAAAAAAAGAAGGTCAGATTCAAGAGTTAGAAATTTAGCAGGAAAGAGTAATTTTCCGGGTAAAAATTTTCTACGCGATTTTTTCCACATTTCACTTTTTTGGAAATTTTTGACAAAGTAATTTCGAAATGTCAATATTTGGTCTTTTTGGAACGTCATCCATGTCTTTTACATCAATCATTTCTCAGGCGTTTACAACTTTCAAACTTCAAAATGCCCGCGTTTCAGGAAACCCTTCATCTCCTTCAAAATATACCCATTTTTGCGATGGCGCAAAGGTATTTCTTTAGCCATTTTTTCTCCTTTTATGAGGCCGAGAACTTTAAAACCCGGGTCTTTTTAATGAAGGACCTCCAAAACCAGTCAAATAAACAAAAAATTAATGTCATTTGGTTCTAAAATCTTATGTAAGAAACTTCAAGGTTCAGAAGTTCAAACAACGAGGGAAAACAAATTCTCCTTATCTCGATTCATATTTCTGGAAATCTTTTTTATCGTATCCAATTCACGTTATTTCCATTCAACAGAAGGCATTGGCTCGTCCTCCATGACTTAACTCATACGCCTAACAATTAGATACTTGGGAGCTGCATGCACCTCTCCATCTCCATCCTAATTAACCTTGAGCGTTCGTCATCGGATTTCATCTGCTGCACGTGGAAGCAATTTTCAAAATCGCCGACACAAAAAATTCTGTAACAAAGTAACAATAGACTGATGATGGAGACAAAGTTTCAATCTGTGTCAATATAAGTGTTTGATACGCCAAGGTGATAAATAAGCACTTGATGCTGTCGGAATTCGAACCCCGGTCTCTAGTTTCCACAGCAAACTGCGTAATTCGTGTGAAGTGTTGGCTCAGAAGTCAGCGTTTTGCCTCGTGTTTGATTCACATGCGATGACTGAAACTGGAATCATTTTTCCCTACAACGAAGGAAAATGAGAGGTTGATGGCACGGTGAATGGAGAAAGAAGTATCACCTATTAAGTGTTTCAAAAACGATATTGTATAATTTTTATCTAGGCCAAATTATATTAGAGAAACTAACGCACATCGAAGTATGGCGAAAGCATGCAGAAAATATTTGGTGGCTAGGTTGCATCGACAATTATTTCATTATACGTTACGTGTTTTGCATATCTCTAGAATTGAAGGCGCGAAGGTGGCGGGCACTTTCCAGCATCATGTTTTAAGGGGCAAAAATCGTCTCGTAAATTTTTTATCCAATCCTAGAAATTCATATTAAAATCTGATTAGCATTTTCGAGAAACTCATCTTGAACCTCTCGATTAAGTGTTACACGTGTTAAATGTCTACCGTCGCATGTAAAATGTTCCTCTAGTAAAGAATTGCCTAGCACAATAACCACATTGATGAAAGCAATCTATGTACATCGTACATCGCGCAAACTATAGGTTTCTATAAAAATGTGAAGGCACTCGGTTTTAGAGCACAAATTTTTCGGCTGTTGTAGCCATTACACCTGGTTGGGCACAAATTTTCCACACTCATAGAGTCCTTGGCCGTTTCAAAGAATAATAAATGCGCAATTTTTAAATTGCTTCAATGGTTGAAATATTTTAATTAGGTATTCGTGAAGAATAAATAAATCAGATAAACACACAATCTGGACATCTCACCACAGTCAGTAACCTCTTGCAAATCTAAAGGCTCGAGTGAAGTAAATATAGACATTGTCTACATTGTTAAAGTTTGGTACTTGCCGGTTGCCTTGCAACATACCGCTCAACAGTCTTAGAGCTTAAGTGAGCTAAAGTGGAAAAAGTTTCACTCAAATAACTTACTTTTAAGTGGATGTTTGATGAGCTTTCCTCACACCTTGTTCTTGAAAACAACCATGTAACTAGTTTCAGGAACATCATGTCTCTATTTCATTGAGGTGCTGGGAAATTTTCTACGGTAATTCTGCAGTATCTCGAGTTAGGAAAAATTTTTAGAATGCCGAAATGAAAATACTGCAAAAGCGGGGGATTTCTGATCTAATAAATCTCACTGAGGAAAAATTTCGGAATGCGCACGCCTGCTGCTGGTTTTGTCTAGGACTTAAATAAAATATCTCAAAGTTGAGGCTGGTCGAGTCTCTCATTGCCGGTACAATACCAATGGCGTGGCGCGCTTTGAGATATATCGATTGATCTGCCATTTCAACCTATAGAAAAGGATCGATAAACAGCACGAACACCTTAATAATAAATTCTATACTACAGGTTCAAATGGGGAAATATCGTCAATTGATCATTCACGGATCGCCATTGTACAACATGATCAAAGGAGAGCATCCTCGACATTTTTCAGACTCATTTTGTAGAGGGGCCTAGCTTAAAGGGTTGAATTAATCGGCAAAGTTGCTAGAGCTGCACATGTGAGTTAAAAATCGGCCGCATGTCTTTTGAGTCCTCTTATTTGGCTTGTTATTCTGCTAAAGACCGGGGAAACTTTGTCGTTTTATTGATTCAGTTCGTCGATACCACTATTGAGGCCCCGGCGTGCCCATGTTTGCCTATCTCTTGATTTGAAGGCGAACCGTGCAGGAGCTCTGTTATTACTTATCATCAGGATTAAAGACAGAATTGTAAAGAGAGAGAGCTGAATATATTCTAAGTGAGCAGTTGTTCCCTGAGTAACATTTAATAAACTCGTGTAACCGTAACAATTTTAGCCAGATGATCTTTTTAGCTTCGCGTAGAGTTTTGGGTCAAAATAATTATGTCCTCGCAGGAAACTATAAAATGCGTCAATTTCTTACGCAGATTGGGATGTTAGGAGTGCATATCACTTATCAGACTCCTCTGGCACGCTCATCATGATTTTCAAGTCACTTTCCTTCAGAGAAAATACCTCTTTTTCCGCGCAAAAGAAAAGTTCGTAACGGGCCCAGTTATGTTGTGTAATACATTAGAACTGGGAAAAGAAGAAATCGGACAGATCGTGACGTCTGACACGTGAGAAAATAGCGTCATTCAACAGAAATTCTCACCTTCCGGCGAAAGTGTCACACGCGCCATGCGATATTCAAAAATTTCCACTGCCATTTTATTTTTTTACCGCGTAATTTTTCAACGAAGCTGTCCGAAAATTTCACCGAATTTTCTTCGTGCTGCCGATAATATCCAGTGAAATTTTCACACAGATTCAACCAACAATTCCTCTGTGAAAAAATATAAAATGGCGGCGGAAATGTTGAAACGTTGCATGGCGCTTGTGATACTTTGGCCGGGGGGTGACAAAATTTATGTGCTAATCAATGTGCCGACTGATGATTTATGCACTAATCTTGATATTTTCCGTGTGTTGCAGGGATTCGAGCACCTGCTGGCGAATCTGGGATTGGGAAAAATCAAATTCGACGGCTTGCACACCCTGTTCGAGCATCGCGGCGCAGATGGGTCCTTCGAGGAGATGCACGACGCCCGCGGCATCCACCAGCATCAGCACGACCGGAAAAAAAGAAGCCCGCACCAATCAAGTGAGTCTTTCACCAAATTTTATTTCGAACTTCTCTGAAAGTCTCCATACACGAGCAAATTCAGGGCCGGATTTACCTACTTGGCACCCGTGGGCCACCTGTATTTTGCCGCTCCCTTCTCATTCGTTTTGAAACATTAATAAAAACCATCAAGTGAAGTATCGGAGTGAGGGGAGGGGTGCATAAGACGCGTTCACTCGTGTTGGACACATTTTTTGCGAAAACCCTGTCATTAGCAAAAGTTCTCGGAACTTTGAACGAAAGTTAAGTTCCGTAAACCTATCTCTGTGTAAACAAGGCCTTCCATTTGTAAGAAATGAACGTAAAAATTATGCAAGAGCAAACGTAAATGTGGTTTAATAATTTTAACTTCCGCCGCCGCGCCGCGCTGACCGCACTGTTTTTGACGCAATGCGTGAAGTATTCCCACAGTCTTGTAGGCGCTACGCGTTTCACGCCGACCGCTGCTGAACGCACTGTTTTCGACGTAATGCGTGAAGTATTCATGAAGTCTAGTAGGCGCTATGCGTTCCACGCTGATCGCGCTGTTTTTGACGCAATGCGTGAAGTATTCATGCAGTCTTGCAGGTGCTAATATGTGTTACATGGTGACCGCCGCGCTGAGGGCTTCTCCTTTTCATCTTAAGTCCTATTTTATCATCAAGTCCTATTCATCATCATTGCTCTCTGCGCCGCGTCGCTCCATACCAAATTGTGTGTTAGGTTTCTCTCTTCACTCGACTAATGAAAGGTCGACTCCTGTGTCACCGAAAGACGCTTTTCTCGTTTGTAATTTTTTTTCTGAATCCGATTTTTTTTATACCTATATTTAAAAAAATTGCAAAATTTGCAGCCCCCTACATTTGCCGCCATGGACCGCGGCCCATGTGGCCACCACTATACATGCTAACCTATTCATTTTCATCGTTAAATCCAAAAATGAACTTTAATTTTGTTTGTGAGGTACCAATTTTTTGTGCAAACTTGAATTTTCCTCGGGATATAACCCCATTTTTGGGAGGAAATCTTCATTTTCAAAAAATTGGCGGTTGTAAAAGAAAAACACTTAGATGCTTTCGGTTTTAGGGTCACTCAATACTCAGGAATTACCTATTAAATGCCCAGTAACTTTGGCAACAAAAAATTTAGGAGAATAAAGGTGCAATCATCGATGATAAGGAAATTTTTTAAAATCACCTCTCGGGGTTGATCCAAAATAACCCACAACGCTGCCGTGCTAAGGAAAAACATCGTATGCTCATTCAAGAGTTGCCAAATTTCCTCCCATAAAATGTTCATTTTTTAGGAAAGAGGTACATATTTTTTTCTCTGACATTATCAGGAACTTTAGCAGAGACTGCGAGAAAAATTATCCGAAAAATTAGAAGAACAATATTCATAAGTTTACCAGGAAATTCGTATTTTAACGAAGGAAATCTGGCAACGCTTGAGGGCTCATGCGGCGTTTTTCCTTAGGATGGCAAAATGAACGTGGGACTTCGCGATTCAACGCTACGATTCTACAATTAAAACACGATTCTGCGACCAGCGCATTGCCGTTTGCGGTGCGGTTCGGCTGCCAGGAGGGNGGGTCCGGATCCCATACTTCATTGTCGACGTGCGGCGGAGGTCCGTCTGTTCAATTGAAGTGTCACTGTCAAAGCCAGACCAAGGTCGCCGACGGGTCGTCCCCTCGTCTGGCGCTAAAATTCCGTCCCGTTTTGACGTTTCGTAATGACCCGGGCTCCCCGCTTGCGTAATTGGACGGCTCCGACCGGTCAAAGATGAGCCGTTTTAAATTTGCCAATTTTTTCGGCCGTCCGAGGGACTTCGGAGTCCGGCCTTCTGTCGCGGGGGAACCAAGCGCAAGCAGTGGCGTGGCGTGCTCTGCGATATATCGATTGATACGCCACTCAAACCTACGGAAAAAGATCGATTATCAGGGTGTTCGCAGCGAACACCTTAGTTATCGATTCTTTACCATAGTTTCAAATGGCGAGATATCGATAATCGATCATTCACGCCACGCCACTGACGCAAGTCTTCAACTTCCATTCCGAGGACGTCACCTGCGTCTCTTTATCAAAAGAATTAAAGTCTGAAAAAAGGGTTTATAGCAGATATTACCACAAACATGAAGTCTTCTTAACATGTAGTGTGTGAAAACATATATGTAGAAGTTGCACAACATTTTTTAATTGCTGTATCCGAGAGTGCTTGCGAGCTGCGCGCTCGCAAATATTTTTCAAGAGAAAATTCTTTTACGGGAATTTGTACAAAAATGAGAAAATCAGGTGCCTTGTGATGTCATCAGGTAGCATTTCCCATTTAAACCCATGTATTTTAGCAGATTAGGTAATTAAGTCATAACTCCTATTTAATAATTCACTGGGAAAAAAAACACATTGGATCTGGAGTCCAGACTCTTGAAAACATTGAGGAGAAAAAGGACTCTTGATTCGATCAGATTCAAGCTTAAATCAAAAGGAAATCCGCTCAAATTAAGAGGCTTGGTTCTAGATTTAAGCTTAAATCTGATTGAATCAAGAGTATTTTTTCTTGTCGATGTTTTTAAGAGTCTGGACTCTTGATCCAATGTGTTTTTTTTTCCAGTGTTGTCAATTTTAGAGATCAAGGATATTCTCATGCTCAGTTTACTCATTGTCAGTAGTTCCTTCTTGAACACAAAATTTACAGAACTTCAGACACCTGCAAATTCTCCATTCCAGTTTGGTGAGCCAAAAGCCTCAGTTCAACGAGCCTAATTCGCGGTTAACCGGACCAAAAACCTCGGTCAATCTTGGATATGTTTTTTTATGAACCAAAGTTTTTCGGTTCGTTGTACCTACTAAATCTCCTTCTGGAAGAACTAAACGATCGGTTCACGGAACTGATGTTCGGTTTTGTCGACTAACTACGCCCATTCACACGACTGAGGGCTCAATCCTCTAATAACTCGTACACTGTACAATAGCCAGCACATCATTTCAGCCAACGTTCGGAGGACTCTAAAATTAGAGTGCTTAAAACGGGATGCGAACCCACGACCCGCGGGTTTCCAATCCAACTTGTGAGAGGAGGGATACGTCAGAGAGAGAGGGATTACTTAGCGGCCAAAAATAAAGTGCGAGTAATTATTTGAGATGTAACGCTGCATGGCTTCACGGAAACCCTCCTCTCCTCCCATCCCGGCAGCTCATCTACGTCCGCCGGGAGTCGAACCCACGACCTTCGCGATCGAGAGAAAGAGCAGATGCGATTGCCTGTTGCGTTGGAAATACTGCAATAGAAAGCGTCTGCTGTGTATGGCACTTAAACTCCAGACCGTACCTTCCGTCTGCAATGCGTGCCAACAGGGCAGGTGTGTCTCTCGCATTTTTTTTCTCATTGCCTTGTTTATTTCCATTTTTTTTCCTTTTATCTTTTTTTCCTCCGAAGCTCTTACGATACAACATCCTCAACAAGAGGTACCGTTGGTAATAAAATCGAACGAAAGAGCTCCACGTAAAAAAAAAAACGTTAGTGGGCTCTAGACCACTGAGTGTGTATGATCCCCAAAAAATCTAGTAGCCAGCACTAGATTCCTAATAGTGCTTATCAAGGACTGCTAAACTTAATCAGATGTGATATTAATTATGAAAGAAATCTATTACTAGTTTACTAGTCTCTAGATTTCTTGGGGATCACGCACATGATCAGGAATCTGGAATCTGATATCTAAAAATTGTATGATTTGGAAAGACGGATGGGGGGGGGGGGGTGGTGGTGATATGAGGTCCATTCACTCTTCACCTTCACAACAGTGCAATTGGGCGGCCACAATCCACATACGTCCACAACTTTTCTGAAGGGGCCACCAGCTTTGGGAGGGAGCGCGCTCTGGGCCCTATTACTGTGACCGTGCTGAAAGGGAAGAAAACTTTTTACCCGAGTGTCCGATGGAGCGACTATCACTTCATTTTTGCTACTGGCCGATATACACGACCTCTGCATATGACCTGCTCTAGAACGGTTTCAAAATTTTTCAAAGAGCTTTCCTCCTAAGGAAAATGTTTTGGGAAAACTACTTTTATCAAGTTGGATTGAACATTTTGAGTTAGGATTAATAACGAGAAACACCTACTAGCTATAAGTAGAAATTGCGAGCAGTAATGCTCTTGCTGGCTCCGCTGAGGACGGATAGATGCTTTTTTAACCCAATGTTAATATTTTGACCCCCAGAAAAGACAGATTCAAACTTAAAATTACCCTGTTCCTCTCTCTCTCAAAACAATAGATTTTAAAGTGCAAACATCAAACCGTCTTCAATGCAGTTTTAATCTGCACTTTTTGGTGCCGTAGACAGGGCCGAAAAGCTCGTAAAATACTTCTTCAAGCAGTAGTGCCAATTTCTCTATTTGAGTATTTCAGCGGTAGTAATGTCCTTTTCACCATAAACGTGCTCATTCTCTTTTTTTCCTTCGTTATCATACCCTTCTTCTTCTTTTTCTGGAAGATTTTTTTCGAGAAATCGACAGCTTTTCCGAGGTCAGTATTAACCACTGTTAATTTTTCCAGTTCCTTAAATTCTCATCGCAATTTTCTGAAAGTCGTGCGCCACTGCGCGCCACAGAGAACGACAGTCTAGTTATTGAGTCACAGCCAAAATTGAAGCGAATAAGTTCCGTCACGCATCTATGTACTCGTCTATGACTCGCGTGTGGGCTTCAAACTAGAGCGCTGGCTTTGGAATCGAACCCACGACCTTCGCAGAGAAGAGACACGTTATTAACGACGACAAGAGCTCGCCTCGGTTGTGCTGACTCAACTGTGACGCATGCTGAGAGACCTACCTAGGTTGCCCTCACAAATAGAAAAATCAACATTTTTGAATTGAGATGAGGGAATAGAACCGTCTCAATGGTCATGAATCTGTTGCATACTTTTCCCAGAGCAAGGAGGAGAGTTGTTGCCTACGGAAAATGGCTTTAAGGTGATTCGATGGACGCCATATTTTGTGT